AAATGGAAAAACATACCATGCTCATGGCTAGGAAGAATCAACATTGTTAAAATGTCCATACTACCCAAAGCAATATACAATTTTAATGCAATCCTGATTGAAGCACCACTGTCATACTTTAAAGACCTTGGAAAAATAATACTTCATTTTATATGGAATCAGATAAAAACCTTAATTAGTCAAGAAATTATTCAGAAAGAAAAATAAATCAGGAGGAATCACGTTAGCAGACCTCAGACTATACTATAAATCTATAGTGATCAAAACAGCATGGTACTGGCACAAAAACAAAGAGGTAGATGTATGGAACAGAATAGAGAACCAAGAGACAAACCCAGCTACTTATCATCATTTGATCTTTGATAAGCCTATCAAAAATAGTCAGTGGGGAAAAGATTCCCTATTTAACAAATGATGCTGGGTGAACTGCCTGGTGACCTGTAGAAGACTGAAACTGGACCCACACCTTTCCCATTAACAAAGATAGATTCTCACTGGAGAAAAGATTTAAACTTAAGACATGAAACTATAAAAATATTAGAAGAGAGTGTAGGGAAAAAACTTGAAAAAATCATTCTGGGGGAATATTTTACGAGGAGGATCCCCCAGGCAATTGAAGCAACACCAAAAATACATTACTGGGATCTGATCAAACTAAAAAGCTTCTGCACAGCCAAGAACACAGTATGTGAAACAAGCAGACAGCCCTCAGAATGGGAGAAGATATTTGCAGGTTATGTCTCTGACAAGGGTTTGAAAACTAGAATCCACAGAGAACTCAAATGTATTAGCAAGAAAAGAACAAGTGATCCTATCTCATTGTGGAAAAGAGATTTGAATAAAAACTTCTCTGAATAAGACAGGCACATGGCCTACAGACACATGAAAAAGTGCTCATCATCCTTAATCATCAGAGAAATGCAAATCGAAACCACTTTGAGATATCATCTAACTCCACATCACAAAATCCCAAAACTATAGATGTTGGCATGGATGGGGAAAATTTCTGCACTGCTAGTGGGAATGCAAACTAATAAGTTCCTTTTGGAAACAAATTTGGAGATCACTTAGGGATCTAAAAATAGATCTGCCATTGATCCTGCAATTCCTCTACTAGGTATATATCCAGAAGACCAAAAATCACTTTATAACAAAGATATTTGCATGAGAATGTTGGCAATTGCAGCCTAATTCATAATTGCTAAGTCATGGAAGAAGCCCAAGTGCTCATCAACCCATGAATGGATCAATAAATTATGGTATATGTACACCATGGGAAATTATGTAGCCTTTAAAAGATGGAGACTTTACCTCTTATGTTTTTACATGGATGGAGCTGGAACATATTGTTCTTAGCAAAGTATCTGAAGAATTGAAAAAGTATCCAATGTACTCTACTATGAAATCATTATATAAGCACTGACACTTCCATATAAAAGCTATAACCCAACTACAACCCAAGATGAAGGGGAAAGAGGAGGGGGAGGGGAGGAGGGAAGGATAGGTGGAGGGAAGGTAATTACTCAGATCACACCTATGATAGATTTTATAAGGGTACATGTCAAATCTACTAAGTATAGAGTATAAATAATTATGAAAGTGCAGTGAAGGCTATGTTAACCAGTTTGATGAAAGTATTTCAAATTGTATATAAACCCAGCACATTGTACCCCATAAATGCATTAATGTACACAGCTATGATTTAATTTAAAATTTTTTTCTTTTTTAAAGAATAAGGAAGGCTGGGATGTGGTTCACACCTTTAATCCCAGTACTCTGGGAGGATAAAGCAAGAGGATGGCTTGAGACCAAGGGTTTAAGATCAGCCTAGGCAACACAGCATGACCCCAGCTCTACAAAAAATAACAATTTTTTTAAAAAAGCACAACCAAAAAAACAAAATTAGCCAGGTATGGCAGCGCATCCGTTAGTTCCAGCCACTCGAGATGCTCAGGCCAGAGGACAGCCTGACCTCAGGATTTCAAGGTCACAGTGAACTACAATGCATTCCAGCCTTGGCAACAGAGCAAAACCCTGTCTCTAAAAAATAAAGTTTGTTTATAAAGTTAAGTTTGTATTTTTAAAAGAGGATAAAGAAACACAAATAGAAATAGAAATACCAGTAGTTTTTCAAAGACCTGTGGGATCATCTTGTTCATGTCCTGGGAGCTGAATGTACAGGTTTGATTTTTTTTAATGAAATTATTATTCATAGCTTTGCCAAATCTAGGCATACTATGTTTGAATTCATGTTTTTTAGACAAGGATATTCCAGCCTGATTTAGCAGGAATAGAGAGTATTGAGTGAGAACAGCAGCTGAAAGAAATGGCCACAGAGAGCAGGGGTAAGATGGAGATGGGAAAACATTTATATGCGTTCCAACACTCAGCAATCTGCCTTATGTGGAAAAGTAGGCTTACACTTCAGCACTTAGCAGCTTAGAGCCTTTCTATAATAGAAATAATAGTTATAAATATATACATTGTTAAAATATATAAATAATAAAAATTGTATGTATATAATTATATGAAAAATAGAAAGTGAACCACATATGGCCAAAAATAGCCATTGCTTAAAATTGAAACTATGGTTAGAAATAGCACAGGTATGTGAATGTTACCAGTAAATATCAACCAATACCAAATCCATAATTATCTGTAAATTAATTATACATTACTTAAAAGTGAATTAAGTGAAAGTACATACATAAATGTCGAAAATCTATTGAGATTGTTTCATAAACATCTGCTTGGATTTCTGCTTATTTATGTGGTCTGCTTTTCATAAGATGAAACAATAAAACCTAACTCTGTGATGAATGAAGACTCATAAAATTATTACATGTATCTGGACAAATTGTTCTGGCTCCTTTCCTTACTAACATTATTTTGCAATTATTTTCTTTGGTCCTTTTTGGATTGTTTATGTTTGGGGAATGACCTGGGGGAAGGTGGAGGAGGAAATGGCACCTCTAAAACCTCACAATCTTGAAATTCTCTTTAGTTTTCTATTCACATTCTCCTTTTAGTTTTCCTCAAACTCTATATGTTTTATACCTTTTAAGGTTTTCGGCTAAGGCGCCAGCCACATACACCCAAGGTGGCGGGTTCGAATCCCCAGCCAGGGCCCGCCAAACAACAATGATGGCTGCAACCAAAAAAAAAAAAAAATGGCCAGGTGTTGTGGCGGGTGCCTGTAGTCTCAGCTGCTGGGGCACCAGCCACATACACCTGAGCTGGCCAGTTCGAATCCAGCCTGGGACTGCCAGATAACAATGATGGCTGCAACCAAAAAATAGCCAGGTGTTGTGGGGGTCGCCTGTAGTCCCAGCTACTTGGGAGGCTGAGGCAGGAGAATTGCTTGAGCCCAGGAATTGGAGGTTGCTGTGAGCTGTGATGCCACAGCGCTCTGGCACTCTACCCAGGGGGGACAGCCAGAGGCTCTGTCTCAAATAATAAATTAATTAATTAAACTAGGGTATCCGCATGCCTGAGAGAGCTACACCTATCCCCTCTTCCAAGACATTCTGACTGCTAGTTTACGTCTGTGACTCCAGTCCAATCAACTCACATAACAGTCACTACTAGAGAATGGATTATAATACTTTGACAACAAAATCAGGATCTAGCCAGAAACATCTCTGGTACCTTGCAGCAAACCTTCCAGTAGAAGTCCTGGAACCCACCAATGTAAAATGGCTCTCGAACTCTACATTATATTATGGCTTGTGTTCCACCTCCCAGGTTTTTACTAGTTGTTAATATTTCTTTTTTTTTTTTTTTTTGAGACAGAGTCTCAGGCTATCCCCTGGGTAGAGTGCCCTGGCATCTGGGGGGACAGCCAGAGGCTCTGTCTCAAAAAAAATAAATAAATAAAAAGGTTTTCTTTTCAATTTTAGAACAAAATTCAGAACAAAGGACTCGACATCTCTCTATAGGAGAGATAGAGTCTCTTAACACACTACATTTTCCTGAGAAATTCCTAAGACTACCAGCTGCTATATTCATCTATCCCATTAACTGCAATCTCAGCTTTGGTGCCTAAACCCAAATATTTCATGGCATAGAATAAGATATGGATCTCTTTTCTCCAAGTCTGATATTTCCTGTTCTTATCATATGTCTTCTTCATAAATTAAAAAAAAAAAGTATTAGCTTTGAGGTCCTATAAGATGCAACTTGCTATTTTTGCTCTAAATT